CTTGCCAGGGAAGCGCTTACTCTACTGAGCTATCTCCCCAGCCCCTAAACTAAATTTTATGCTGTGTTATGGCATGCACCTGTAATCCCAGCACTTGGGAAGCAAAGGCAGGAGGACTGCCATGAGTTCAAAGCCAGCCTTAACTACACAGTGAGGTACTATCTCAAAGCATTCCCCCAGGCTAGGGAAGTAGCTCAGAGGCACAAGCACCTGCCTGGCAAGCACAAGGTCCTTGAGTTTGAATTCTGGTACAAAAAAACCTCAAAACCCCAAAACAACAACAAAAACCCCCCACTCCCCCAAATGTTATGACACAAGATCTATGATCACACAGTGACTTTCACTAGAACTCTAAATCAGTTAGCTTCTATGCTAGGTTCAGACAGTTCATACTACAGATTCCTTGGGATAACTTACTGCGGAAGAGCCAAGGCTTGACTTATATATAGCAAGGACCTTTTATCCCCCACCTACTGGCCTCTAGTTCAACCAGCTGGTTTCTGCATCAGATGTCTCAGGGGCAGTGGTCATCTCTATTTCTGGCAGCCTGGCATCTGATCTGCTTTTGGTGAGTGAGTGCATACATCTGGACTACTTTACCTTGACTCCTGTGAGCATGCCAGTCGTGGAGACACTGAAATCAAGATATGCCAACATCTCAGGAGTGGGTGGTTTATACAGCTGAGGTAACCTTTTCCTGGGTAAATCATCTGCAAAGAAAAGAAAAATCTCAATGTCATCAGACATGCTGCAACATGAAAACTACTGCTCTTCCACTGACTGTGGCTCTGCTCTGGCCAAATTTAGCTTCTGGGATTTGTGAAAGCTTGGGCTTTTCATATTTAACTACACAGCTCATGAATTTCACTCTGAGACAGGATGAGGTTCAGCACACCACAAGACAATATAAACAAGCAAATCTATATCCAGTGAATTCCTTCACCAGAAGGTTAGTAAGGGGGAAAATAGCATAGCAATAAGCAAGGTCTTCAAATTCCAGCACTATTTTATTCTTTCTGCCTGCCTGCCTGCTTGCCTGCCTGCCTACCTGCCTGCCTGCCTGTCTCTCCCTTTCATCTTTTTAAACAGGGTCTCTCAATCCCTGGCTCCGCAAAAAAAAAAAAAAAAAAAAAAAAAAAAAAAAGCAAGAAACAGGGTCTTGCCATGCAGCTGAGGCTGGCCTTGGGCTTATTTTGTAGACCAGGCTGATCTCAAACTTGCAGCGATCCCCCTGCTTCAGCCTCCTAAGTGCTGGGATTATAGGTGTGTACAACTATGCCTGGCACCCACCTTTTTTCACCTGTGTGTGTTACTGGGAATAGAATCCAGGGCCCTTTTGGAACAGGGTTTTTCCAAGTCACTAAGATCAAGATGGGCTCAAACTTAGGATCTCTTGCCTCAGCCTTCCAGGTGGTGGCATTATAGGTATGTACCACAATGCCACAATTAAAGGCTTTCCCTTTTCATATCAAGGGTACACAGGCACCGAGCTCTAGTGACACTCACATTTCAGTCTCCTGACTTCTGGTCCAAAGATGTTTCAACTATGCTGGCTCTTCAAGTCAAGGGTCATGTCCCATATTCATGTCTGCTTGTTATGTGACTCGCTTCCCCAGTTGATACTGGATTTAATCAATTTTACCTGAGCAATAGCTTGTAATCTCATTGGTTGACCAAAGTTTTGTCCCACCTCATGCCCAACTAAGCAAGTTCCCATGTCTTCTCCACCACCTTAGACCCGCCTCACCACATGGTTTTCCTCTATAAAAGTCCCTGGAAGAAACAATTTCCCAGGGACTACCCACTCAGACCTCCCTCCTGTCCCTCTCTTGGACAGGAGCTTTCTCTCCCTCAATAAATATATTCTGCTCATTAAAAAAAAAAAAAAAAAAAAAAAAAAGTCAAGAGTCAGACTGTCTCAGCATTTCACTCTTCTACATGCCTATGTGGTCACAGCTGGCATAACATCCTAATGACCTTGGGATGACATCAAAAGTAACATCAAGCTATTTTATTTTTTAAAGTTTATTCATTGGGCATGGTGGTATATGCCTACAATCCCAGCATTCAGGAGGCTGGGCCAGCCTAAACTGCATAGTGAGACTCAAGTGTCAAAAAAAAAAAAAAAAAAAAAAAAGTTTTGATCCCTAGCATGCAGTGCTGGCTGACCCCAGGACACCCGCAGACAACTGACACTGGGTGTGGTGGTGCACGCCTATAATCCCAGTGCTTGGGAGGATGAAAATAGGAGATCACTACAAGTCCAATCTGTGTAGTGAGATCATGCAGACCTTGTACCAAATACATAACAACAAAAAAAAGTTTATTAGTGTGTTTCTTTGGTTTATTACTATTATTATTTTTGAGGCAAGAACTCACTATGTAGTTCAAGCAGGCCATACACTCACTTTGTAGCCCAGGCTGGCCTTGAACTTGTATCAGTTCTCCTGCCTCAGGATTTCAATTGTTGGCATAACAGGTCTGTATAGCCAGCACCCACTTACTGATTTATTTTTGAGGCAAGGTCTCATTAAATTGTTAAGTTGCCAAGATAGGCTTGAAATTAAGATTTTTTTTTTTTTTTTTTGCAGAACCAGGGATTGAACTCAGGTCCTTGCACTTGCCAGGGAAGTGCTTATTCCACTGAGCCATCTCCCCGGCCCCGAACTTATGATTTTGGACTCAGCCTCCCAGAGTGCTGGGATTACAGGAAGAGTACTATAAACTGGTTCTTTTTTTTTTTTTTTGCGGAATCAGGGATTGAACTCAAGCCCTTGCAAGTGCTTATTCTACTGAATCATCTTCCTGGCCCTAAACTGGTTCTTTGGATTTAGTTACTGTCTAGTCCATTGATCTCAAAGCTGAATGAATATGAGCTTTTACTTCCTTCAAAAATGAAGAAATAAGGGGCTGGGGAGATGGCTCAGTAGAATAAGCGCTTCCCTGGCAAGCGCAAGGACCTGAGTTTAATCCCCAGTTCTGCAAAAAAAAAAAAAAGAAAAAGAGAGAGAGAGAGAGAGAGAGAGAGAGAGAGAAGGTAGGTATGGTGGCATACAGCTGAATCCCAGCACCTGAGAAGCTAAGGCAGGAAAATTGCTGTGTGTTAGAGGACAGCCTGAGCTACAAAGCCATACCCTATCTCGAAAAAAGAAAAAAGAAAGAGCTTTCAAGCATAAACTAAACATGTTCATCACCACTAAGCCAGTATTAAAGAAAATACTTAAAGAATTCCTACACACAGAAGGGGAAGGATGTAGAGTTGCTGGCAGCAGTGACAAAGATAATGACAGAGATGATAAGGAAGGGGTTGGGGATTCAAGATTCTGATGAGGAGAATTCTGGAGTTTCTGGATTTATTTCATGTGTGAAAGGCTGCAGAAGGGCTGTCTCTTCTTGCTGTGCTTAGCAGCTGCTGGGGTGGGTGGTTTGGCAGTCAGAGAGGGCACCGAGATGGAAGAGTGTTGAGCAACAGAGAAAGAGCATCTCTGACAGTCATCATCAAGATGCTGGAATACAACAACAGGAAGACAAAGACGAGGGAAGTGGGAAGATGGGGGATCTAAAGCATGAAATGAAGCCCATGGAGAGAGCGAAGAGAAAAATTTCAATAAGAAAGGAAGAGGCAGTCAGCAGTGCCTTCTCTCTGAGATGGGACTCACTGCTCAAGAGGAGCAACTCAGACCTGTGAACATGTGGTGACTGCTGGCAACACCAGAGGCCACCATGGAGAGATGGAGCAGTGGATGGGAACAGTGGATGAGAATGACTCAACTAGCTGGTGGTGAGTGCTGAGGGCTCTGCTGTCCAGCGCACAAGAGTCACTGGTGGGAGCCATCTTGGAGAGAAATCAGAGCAGCTTTGGGCTCCATCTAGCGGTTCCCAGCTGGGCTCAGAACCATAGAAGCTGCAGGCCAAATGAGTCTGGTCTCAGCCAGAAGATGCAGTTTTACTGAGATTAATCCCTATACCACTAGGATAAATAAACCTGGATCAGGACTCTGTCTCCAATCATTGTCTATCAGTGACAGCAGAGATATATGTGGAAGTGGACTTTTTTCTTCCTCCTCTCTCATTTTTTTGGTTCTGTATTTGCCCCCCTCCCGCTTTATCTTGTTTTCATGAGTGTAAATGTGGTATCTAGCCTCATTACAGTTGTAGTTCTCTTCCATTCCTTTTATTTCTTCTCGCTTTCCCTTCAGCCTTCTGCAATAGTTTTCCAAAGTTACTGTGACCTCCCTTTGTCCTCCAGCCTTACTTCTAATCTCTTCTCCCACCTCTCTATTTTCTCCCTAACCCCATTTTATTTTGTTTTTCCTAACCCCATTTTAAATTTTAAGCCCCAAGGGCAAAACTGACATATTAAGGATTCATATGGTGCATATACTTTTCTGGTTTTAGATTTTAGATAACCACAAATCTAGTCCATACAGTTAAAGGTGGCAAGTTAATGTTTAGCTCAGTTTGTCATTTTCTGAGCTATGTTTGATGTTGTTATTGCTAATGGCACCATTACAGCCAAAAGTGACATAACTGTTCAAAACAGCTGTTTTTCTTGTCTTTCCAAGGTTGATTATGACTAAAGATCACAGAAAATACTGTGGCACAGGGCCAAAGAACCAGGGGCTGGGCCATGCAGGCAGCAGCTTCCTGCCCACCCTCAAAACTGAAGAGGTAGAATACTGCAACAAAGTCAAGATACAAAAACCAGCTACAACTGGAAAACACCTTAAAGAAGAAAACATTTATTTCCTAGGGGTTCTAAATACCAGTAATAAAGCAACGTACCATACGCAATTTACAAGAATCACCCCAAGAATTAAACTGAAAAAGAAAATGATAAGACACTTAAGCAAGATGCAATTCCAGGAAAACCAAAATTGCATTCAGTGTATCTGCAGCAGATTAAGCCAATATGAGGACAGGATCTCAGATATAGAAGACAGGCTTGCAGTTAGTGATTACAAAAACAAAGATTACTTAAAAATACCAAGGAACCATGAACACAATTAATCCAGCAACTGCTAGATGAAGCAAAGAACTGAAGATTGATTGGAGCCCATGAAAAAGCAGGAGATAGCACAAATGATATAAAAGTCCATGGCAGAGGAAAAAAAGAATTTGACATATAGTTAAATGAGGAATATAGCGTTCCAATTAGCCACAATAATAAAAAAAAATTCCATTGCTATGCAAATTATAGTCAAGACTCAGGAAATTTCCAGTGGGGGGGGGGAGTGGGAAGGGTAGGGGGAAGATTTGGGGAATTCAACAAAGGAATAGAATCTTAAACCCTATTGGGGAAAAGAAACAAATTACCTATAAAGGAAAGTCCATCAGAATCACAACTGGCTTCTTAGAAGAAATAATTCAAAGAGAGCTGGGAGTGAAGTATTTTAAGTTCCAAAAGAAAATAACTTTCAATCCAGGGCTGGGGAGATAGCTCAAGGGCATAAGCGCCTGCCTGGGCAAGCCTAACGTCCTGAGTTCAATCCCCAGTACCCCCAAAAAACAACAAAAAAAACCCTTTCAATCCAGATTGATGTAGCTCACAAAACTACTTTTCAAGACTGAGGGAGAAATGGGGCCGGGGAGATAGTTCAGTAGAATAAGCGCTTGCCTGGAAAACTCAAGGGCCTGAGTTCAATCCCCAGTTCTGAAGAAAAAAAAAAACCAAAAACCAAAAAACAACCCCCCCCCCAAAAAAAAACAA